TTTGTTGACTGTCCCTAAATTGTAATTTGATGACTGTCCCTAAATTGAAATTTGTTGACTGTCCCTAAATTGTAATTTGTTGACTGTCCCTAAATTGTAATTTGTTGGCTGTCCCTAAATTGAGATTTGTTGACGGTCCCTAAGTTGTAATTTGTTGATTGTCCCTAAATTGAAATTTGATGACTGTCCCTAAATTGAAATTTGTTGACTGTCTCTAAATTGTAATTTGTTGACTCTCCCTAAATTGTAATTTGTTGACGGCTCCTAAATTGTAATTTGTTAGTCCATCCATCCATCCATCCATTTTCTTTACCCGTTTATTCCATTTTGGGTCACGGGGGTCGCTGGTGCCCATGTCCAGCAATCACTGTGCGAGGGGCGGGGTACACCCTGGATGGGTCGCAAGTCCATCACAGGGCCACATAGAGACAAACGAGACAAACAACCATTCACTCTCTCACTCACACCTAGGGACAATTTTAGAGTTACCAATCAGCCTAACATGCATGTTTTTGGTCTATGGGAGGAAACCGGAGTACCCGGAGAAAACCCACGCATGCACGGAGAGAACATGCAAACTCCACCCAGAAAGGCCCCTGGACCGGGGTTTGAACCAGCGACCTGCTCGCTGAGAGGCAGCAGCTCTACCAGTTGCTAATTTGTTAGTCCCTAAATTATAATTTGTTGATGGTCCCTAAGTTGTAATTTAGTGACTGTCCCTAAATTGTAATTTGTTGACTGTCCCTAAGTTGTAATCTGTTGTCGGTCCCTAAGTTGTAATTTGTTGAAGGTCCCTAAGTTGTAATTTGCTGACTGTCCCTAAATTGAAATTTGATGACTGTCCCTAAATTGAAATTTGTTGACTGTCCCTAAATTGTAATTTGTTGACGGTCCCTAAATTGTAATTTGTTGACTGTCCCTAAATTGAAATTTGATGACTGTCCCTAAATTGTAATTTGTTGGCTGTCCCTAAATTGAAATTTGTTGACGGTCCCTAAATTATAATTTGTTGACTGTCCCTAAATTGAAATTTGTTGAAGGTCCCTAAGTTGTAATTTGCTGACTGTCCATCCATCCATCCATCCATCCATTTTCTTCCGCTTATCCGGGGTCGGGTCGCGGGGGTAGCAGCCTAAGTAGGGAGGCCCAGACTTCCCTCTCCCCAGCCACTTGGGCCAGCTCTTCCGGGGGAATCCCGAGGCGTTCCCAGGCCAGCCGAGAAATGTAGTCCCTCCAGCGTGTCCTGGGTCTTCCCCTGGGCCTCCTTCCGGTGGGACGTGTCCGGAACACCTCACCAGGGAGGCGTCCAGAAGGCATCCTAAACAGATGCCCAAGCCACCTCAACTGGCTCCTCTCGATGTGGAGAAGCAGCGGCTCTACTCCGAGTCCCTCCCGGATGATCGAGCTTCTCACCCTGTCTCTAAGGGAGAGCCCAGACACCCTGCAGAGAAAACTCATTTCGGCCGCTTGTATCCGAGATCTCATTCTTTCGGTCACAACCCAAAGCTCGTGACCATAGATGAGGGTGGGAACGTAGATCGATCGGTAAATTGAGAGCTTCGCCTTTTGACTCAGCTCTCTCTTCACCACGACAGACCTGTACAGCGCCCGCTTCACTGCAGACGCTGCACCTATCCGCCTATCGATCTCACGCTCCATTTTTCCCTCATTCGTGAACAAGACCCCAAGATACTTGAACTCCTCCACTTGGGGTAGTGACTGCTGGGTGCTTCCCATGGGCTCACCACCTGTGGGAGGGGCCAAAGGGGTCGGGTGCAATGTGGGATGGGTGGTGGCCGAGGGCGGGGACCCTGGCGGTCTGATCCTCGGCTACAGAAGCTGGCTATTGCTGACTGTCCTTAAATTGAAATTTGATGACTGTCCCTAAATTGAAATTTGTTGACTGTCCCTAAATTGTAATTTGTTGACGGTCCCTAAATTGTAATTTGTTGACTGTCCCTAAATTGAAATTTGATGACTGTCCCTAAATTGTAATTTGTTGGCTGTCCCTAAATTGAAATTTGTTGACGGTCCCTAAATTATAATTTGT